TTTCTTCCATAAGATTCACTTCGGCTGGCTGGCTTCCAAAGCACAATGTTTGGTTTTTTAATATTTTTAATGGTCGAGAGTGTAAGGGTTTGTTATCCAGATATGTTTCCTTATTCGCAACATTTATTAAGCTTCTCGCTAGTCGAAGTCCATTTGTTTGAAACATTTTATGGTTCTCCTCGATGATGCATTCGCCATCCTCTGCTTCTACAAATGCCTTAATCAATTTAATAGAAAGTTCTGGTATAATGGCATCCTTTGGACTTTTTATTTTCTTCTGTTGATATTTGATTACGTCACGATTTTCTGTCAAGTCATATTCGATTATTTCACGCTGATCAATTTTTGCGTTCATTTTCTAAAGAAAATCTCGTCCAAGTATAAATATTCGCAAATGTGTTCTCATTATCACAAATTATGTGTAATTGTTTCGACATCAAATTTTATATTTAAAACAATATTTCCTACGATATATAATTCTTTGCCATCGGGTCCGGAGCACATTTTATCAGGATTTATTATTTCAAGACCTGTATTGAGAGCTGTACTAAGATCGACCACTGAAAGATCGGCGCCTGTATCAATCAAAGCTTCGCAGATACCGATTCTATCCACGTTAATATTCATTTTCTATTTTGGATCCAACTTTTTAATTCCATTTATGGTCGACTTGCTTTGATTGACGGACTCAGGCGCGATGCTTAGTTTAAATCTTCCTTGGGGCATATCTATTCCTTGTAGGGAGGGATACTTGAGTACGTGTTATTACTTACGCCAGCGTCTCGACTTCTCAGTTCCATCATCCATTCGGATTTCTTCTTCGACCTTGTCTTGTGCAACTATGCGCTCCTCTTCCACAATTCTTACAAACCTGACTGCAATACCGCGCTACGTGTCCTGGCTTGTTACACCTGAAACATATTGGTCTCCCGTCTTCTGTCCTATTCCTGTTTGAATCTGGACTCTTATTGTATGTTTTCTTCGGGTAGACCAGTTTTGGATAAGGATTGGGAGTGTAAGATCGTCTAGGGGCAGATACCTGGGGCAGAGACTTGTTCTGGTAGTACCTCGGAGTGGGGGCCTGGGGCTTGGAGGTGTTCTGGTAGTACCTCGGAGAGGGGGCCTGGGGCTTGGAGGTGTTCTGGTATGGTCTTCTGAACGACGTAGCATTCTTCCATTGCTCTTGATGATGGGGACGAAGATAGAGTGGTCCATTATATATAGTTTTTGATTTTTATACACGTTCTTGATAATTATTTTCGAACAAATCCAGCTTTTACAAATTTCTAGAACTTCGTTGGTATTTTTAGGAGGGTTTAGATGGTGGGCAAAAGAGTATTCTTTCTTTAACCCTCCAATAACCCAGTCTATTTTAAAATTAAAAGGTGAACTGGCTTCTGGCGACATAGATGCAGCCCAAGATTATCCTGCAAAATTTGCAGAAATTATTAACGACAATTCATACACCCCTGATCAGGTTTTCAATGTTGATGAGTCAGGGTTATTCTGGAAAAAAATGCCTGAAAGGACTTATGTCTCAAAATTCTATGAATCGGCTAGTGGTCATAAAGCAGAAAAAGATCGCATAACAAATCTTTTCTGTAGCAAGGCTTCAGGAGATTATATTATGAAACCATTAGTGATTAACAAATCAAAAATGCCCGTACCTTTAAAGGAGTAAACATCAATAATCTTCCCGTTTATTGGAGGGCTAATAAGAAAGCGTGGGTTACTGCTGCAATGTTTACTGAATGGTTTCATGAATGTTTTATCCCAGATGCCAAAAAATATTTAAGTTCAAAGGGATTGCCTTTTAAAGTGCTTTTGTTAATTGACAATGCGCCGGGTCACCCACAAGATCTAGAATATGAGAACGTTTAAAGTAACATTTTACCAAAAAATACAACTTCACTATTACAACCATTGGACCAAGGCATAATTTCTACTTTTAAAGCTTTGTACATAAAATGAGCCTTTACATATATTTTGGAACAAATGGAGAACAATGAATCTTTAACAGTTATTAGTGCTTGGAAAAATTTTACAATGTTAGACTGTGTGAAGCATATCGCCTTACCATACACTGCGATTAAGCAAACAACGCTCAATAGCTGTTGGAAAAAATTGTGGCCAAATGTAGTAAAAAATGAACATTCCATTTCAACGTTAATGAATATTCTCAGATAGTACAGATGGCGCATTCATTGGGCGGAGAAGGTTTTGATGATTTTACTGATTGCGATATCGCAGAGTTAATGGCTGATAAAGAACTAAGTGAGGATGATTTAGTTAACTTAGTTTGCGAAAGTGAGTCTGACAAATCGGATGAAGAGGAATTAGTACCAGTAACATTCACTGTTAAAGTCATCCGCGAAGGACTCGCATTGGAAAGAAAGCTGGGTAATCATTTTATGCAAAATGACACAAAGATTGAAAGGGCTTTACGATTCCAACGCTGCTTGGCTCAATATGAAGAGGTTTACAAAGATCTTACAAAAAACGAAGCAATTGTTAATAACCGATTTTATTACCATCTCTCATAATGTAAATATTTCTGCTTCAAACATCGAATCGGCACAAATAACTTCGAGTGATGAAAGTGAATTCGAACCTACGATTTCGAAAAAAAGAATGAGAGTAATTTCTGACAGTGATGAAGGATAATCAAACACCTTTGGTTTTATTTTTGTTCTTCTGTTTATTTATGTATTGTATTTATATAAAAAAACAGTGTTTCCGTAATATATTACATATTTTAACCTGTCGATGCATTTTATTTTTATTTCTGTGTACACCTAAAAATATTGAAAAAAAATCACAACTGTTAAATAGCAAAATTATGCATTTTCTGCAAGCTTTTCGATTTACACGGTTTTGACTTGAAAATATTTACTTTTCGATTTACACGTTTTTCTCAGGAACGTATCTACCATGTAAATCGGGGGATAGGTGTTTATGAAAAATAATATTACAAATTAAAATGAAATAGGTTCATTAGCCATGAGGCAACAATATATTTGTTCAAATGAAAGACTTAATTTGAAGTTTGAGGAAGAGCGATTGCTCGGAGCATATTTGATTATAATTGTATGTAATTCTGCTGTCCCCCCTCAAAGCTTATATCCATAGTTAATCTAAATATACATTCCAAGAGTCTAGCAACAGTATCACTATAAAAGAAAGTTCAAAAATGCAATATAACTCCGGTATGGTAGATTAAACTGGCGAAACCTCTGGGAGGGTTTACCACTGATGAGCCATGTCCTCCCCATTAATTTTTCCATTGCAGTAAGGGCAATATAAATGTTGAATTTTCAAAAGAATAATACGCGTCTATAATAGTTTCGAAATTTCATATATATATATACACTGGTCCGCAAAATTAAAGGAACAATATATTTTTTTCATTTATCTCAAATTTTATTGAAAATTTATCAATGAAATTTTATACACAAATTTATTTTTCCATTATTGATTAGAATACCCGAAATCAAAGAATTCTAACACGTATTTTATGCAAATTAGCCGGTCAAGCAATGATCTTCTTGCAGTCAGTGCATAAATATCTTGGATATTGTGGTTAATATGGGGTGTGATCGCCTTTAACTGATAGACAGGCTCTACATCGGTGACCCATACTAAGAAATAGGGAGTTTATCAGCTTCTGTGGAATCAACGCCCACTCTTGTGTTAAGGCCGTTTCTAGCTCATGAGTGTTTCTAGGAGGGGGTTGGAGGGATGAGATCCGCCGTCCTAGGTTGTCCCATACATGCTCAATGGATTTAGGTCTGGGAATCGAGCTGGCCAATTCATTTGAGCAATTGCATGGTTTTGGAGAAAAGTGTCGACCACACCAACCCTATGTGGACGGGCATTATCATCCATTAGAAGAAAGTTTTCTCCCATTTCCAATGCTTGAGACATCACATATGCTGCCAAGATCTCGTCCCGATACCTCTGTCCAGTCAGGGTTCCTTGCCGAAAAATATGGAGTGCTGTGCGACCGCCCAAGAAGATTCCAGCCCAGACCATAAAACCTTGGCTTCTGTAGGGATCCCTTTCAACCATATTTCGGGGATTATTTCTGGTTCCTACCTCTCTCCAGACAAAGACACGACGAGAATCGCTGTTTAGAGAGAATCTGGGCTCATCAGTGAACATTACACGCCTCCATTCATCTGGATTCCAAGCGACATGTTGTCTGCACCAAAGTTTCCTTGCTCTCTTTTGAGGTGGTGTCATGGCACACAAATTATGGGTCGTCGAGCATAGAGGCCCTTCTTGTGAAGCCTTCTGCGTATTGTATCAGTTGATACTAAGACTCCTTAGCTGCATTGAGGTCACTTTGTAGTTGCGATGCTGTCATTCTTCTATTGCGACGCACAAGGAGACTCAAATAACGGTCTTGATATAACGTTGTGAACCTGGCCGTCCTTGTCCGGGTGTTCTGGCAACATTAGCTGTCGTTTGAAATTTTTTCCAAAGCCTTGAGACAACATTTCTTGTCACTCCAAGCCATCTTGCTACTTCTGCCTGTGATTGGCCTGCTTCCATCCTTCCAATAGCTTGCCATTTTTTTCTTGTGATAAATGTTGCCTATAAGCCATGAAAACTTTAAAAACAAAAAGGATCAATTAAATTCTAGTGGAGCGTAAAATTAGGACGCTTTGAGAAAGACTCAGGAAGGTGCTGGAGGCGGAGTCAACGTAGACGGTGCTATTTTGCATATTGGGAACAACTTTATTTGTTTTTATGTTTTACATACTCTCTTAATTCATATATTTGTGGCCTTCTTGACGCCACGCAATTAAAAATTTACCAAAGTGAGCTTCGGGATAATTCAAAGTATAAACAATACTTAAAGTTACACCGCATAAGTTTCTTTTCTGTGAAAAATCAATATTTATTTCAAAGAGAAATATTTACTATTTCTAACTTTTTTGAATGAAGTATGAGAGGGTGAAAATATGAAGAGTAATGGCGAACGGAAAAATAAAAGTGTCCAGGGGCGGGAATCGAACCCACAAACCTTCCGCTTACCGGGCAGATGCCATGTCCACTAGGCTACCCTGGACATATTTTTCCGTTCGTAAATAATATTTAAAGTAACTTATAATACATTATAAAGGACTGCGGCGTGTGATTATAAACAATACTTAAAGTTAACACCGCATAAGTTTCTTTTCTGTGAATTATTTATATTTATTTATTATATATATATTTATTTCAGAGAGAAATATTTACTATTTCTAACTTTTTTGAATGAAGTATGACAGGGTGAAAATATGAAGAGTAATGGCGAACGGAAAAATAAAAGTGTGGGTTGTGGGTTCGATTCCCGCCCCTGACACTTTTATTTTTCCGTTCGCCATTACTCTTCATATTTTCACCCTCTCATACTTCATTCAAAAAAGTTAGAAATAGTAAATATTTCTCTTTGAAATAAATATTGATTTTTCACAGAAAAGAAACTTATGCGGTGTAACTTTAAGTATTGTTTATAATCACACGCCGCAGTCCTTTATAAATGAATTCCAAGTATGTTCACCAAAACCTCAGGTCTGACTACCATTACCAGACGTGGTGTGAGCAAAATAGTTGTTCTGCCGTCCTTGTGATCCAGAAATTCAACCATACAAGAATTTCTCAATTGACTAAGATCATCTCCGCCCAATACTTTTACAGCGGAATGTCGATAGACATTCTGTTAGGTATATTAATTCAAATAATTTTTCTCTATGTAAATAAATTATATAGATATATGAATAAATATAAATTTATGGTGATAATATTAGCTAGCATATTTTAATCAACGATTTGGCAACGTAGTTAGTGCCTTCTTGATCCTTTCTTGTTTTTTGTATTTCATCTTAATTCTTAAATTTAACTTTGTAGTTTCTATGCATAAAGATAACATTAAACATATATTTAAGTAACATTTTCTCTTTTCACCCCCAAAAACACCAACAATTGGTAGCGAAGCGTGGTTCATGCAAAAAAGGTAAACAAAGGCCATTTTTGAAAAAATAAAGTTAGAAAATATCTTTAAGGTTCGAAAAGAACATATTAAGTAAAAATTCAAAATGGATGAATCATCGATGAATATCCAAAAATTCGATGGAAATAATTTCACGAGTTGGAAATTTCGCATCATTTGTATTTTGGAAGGCAAAGATCTAGATGGCTTTATAAAGAAGATCCTCCAAAAATGAAAGAAATAACTGTCCGAATGGAAAAGAAAAGATGACCAAGCTAGAGGGATAATAACTTGTGCAATGGATGACACACAAGTAAGTTTAATTTTAACATGCAAAACAATTAAAGAAATTTGGACTGCTTTGCATTCTAGATATGAGGGTAACATAAAGAGAAAATGCATAGAGGCTAAAAACAATGTATCTAGATTAACAATGAAAAAATAGGAAACCTGGGAACAATATTTGCTTAGAGCAGAGAAATTATTGCAAGAAGCAAGAATTTTGGGTGGATCAATAGACGATTAAGAATTCATCACAGCTTTTATTAGAGGGCTTACCCCCAAAATACAATATTGTCTCAATGCAATTTGACAATTACCCAGATGCTACTATTTCTGATATAAGAAGAATTTTTGAGCTCCATGAAGAAAGAAACAAGAACAACAAGGATGAAAATGCTGCATATAATATGGGCCATAAATATAAATTGATGATGATAATATTAGCTAGCATATTTTAATTAACGATTTGGCAACGTAGTTAGTGCCTTCTTGATCCTTTCTTGTTTTTTGTATTTCTTCTTAATTCTTAAATTTTACTTTTGTAGTTTCTATGCATAAAGATAACATTAAAAATATATTTAAGTAACATTTTCTCTTTTTTACCCCCAAAAACACCAACACATTCGCGCCTTCGTTAATAATTGTAACATCTGTAAATAAATAAAACTTTCACTAAGTCCAAATAAAACAGGTATACTCTATCTACATAACTATGAAAAATTGCCTATTAATTTTGATGGAAAAATAATTCAACCATCAGAAACTGTTACAATTTTGGGAGTTATTTTTAAAAATCATAGACAAAGGAATAAGATTAATTTCGGAACACATGTTGACAATATAATATGAAAGCTACGAAACTTAAGAATATATTATTCTCATTATGTGCACGTACTTGGGGCATTGATACTCGGCGTAGATTGATCATAAAGCTATGATACGCTCTACAATAAGGCTATGCATCAATTATTTGGTTTCCTTTTATCACTGCAGCAAAAAGATCTAATATGAATTCTATACAATATCAAATTCTTATGCATTCATGCTTATAGGACTTCATCTTCTTACATTACACATATACTAGCGAAAACTCCTTTACTGTCCGATCATCTTGAATTATCACAAACAAAGTATAATATGACAAATTCTCTCACAGATCAAACACTCAAAAAAATCCTTCAAAAAGAATTGAATAAACTATATCTGGATCTAAAATTTAAGTTTTATCTTTCTCAATCTATGGACTGTTCAAGAAATTATTTCCAATTGCTGTCTCAAATTTCATTTCTTCTGATAAATTCACTACTTTATTCTTAATAGACAAAGGACCTTTCTTAAGTTTCCTATTCAAACTGAATGTTATCAATGATCCAACATGTGAATCCCGCTCAGATGTTGAATCACCAGAGCATCTTCTTTTTAACTTGCCCTCTGACTAATCAAATTGTATGTAGATACTTTGAAACATTACCAAATTCTATTTGTGTATATACTCTATCTTATGAGAACTTTTTTAAGTTCAGAACTATTTGTACAATAATTTACAAAACACTACTAATCCATCGTGTAAATAATTAACCATATATATGTAAATAATACTAGCACAGCACAATAGTCCTTTGGACTTCGTGCTTTTGTAACAATAAATAAAATAAATAAAACATCTGTAAAATGAGCAAAACCCCAAAAGGACCGAACTATGGAAAGTTGGGCGATTTGCCAGAATCCCCACTGCTATTCGATCTGGTCTCTATAAACACTATAGCCGGGCTTGCTTGATATGGGAATGCAAAAAAATTACCTATGTTAAGAAAGGGGTAAGAAAAAAAGCTCGTGGAATGAAAGAAAATTCGAAACCCTCCACTACCCCCTCTTTTTAACAAAAAAACCTTTAATCTAAAATTTTGATATTTTGGGCTACCTTGGGTGTTCAAGCAAGAAAAAAAAGGAAGAATACAAAGGCTACACAATATAATGCTTCTGTTTTATTTAATTGAAAGCTATAAAATAAAGGATGAAAAAGATATGAAAATTTATTACTTTTGTCTATTCCAAATTTTTGCATGCAACTTAATGTTTTAACAAAGAAAATATAAAAAATGATATTGGCGAAATAGAAAACTTAGTGAAAATAAAAAAATGCAAAAAAATATGCTAGAATAACACAAAAAATATATCAATTTTAGGAAATAAAGAGAAAACACGTGTGAGAGAGTATTCACCAAAATAGTTCTTCTTAGTTGTTAGGTCGGCCTGCCCCGAGCCCCCCCCCCCACCCCCCCCCCCCCCCCTGCAGAAAACACCAGCCGTGGAAGCACAATTCGTCATCCTCGACGAACTCCTCACAATATTCAGATGAAGCACAATTTCGTCGCCCTCGACGCACTTCTCACAATCTTCCGATGAAGCACAATTCGTCGTCCTCGACGAACTCCTCACAATCTTCAGATGAAGCACAATTCGTCGTCCTCGACGAACTCCTCACAATCTTCAGATGAAGCACAATTCGTCGTCCTCGACGAACTCCTCACAATCTTCAGATGAAGCACAATTCGTCGTCCTCGACGAACTCCTCACAATCTTCAGATGAAGCACAATTCGTCGTCCTCGACGAACTCCAACCTCTATGTGAATCTCTCAAAGATTCGTCTCGGCTTCACCTTTCTTTGAGATGTCAGCCACCCTGTCCCTTCTCAGACCGCTTGTATGGTCGTTTATGGAAGATGGACGAAGTTCCCGGAGATCATCTTGGGCAAGCGCCCGCGAGGCTTTTCTTTCTTGTCTACTTGGCACACCCCGTGTCACGAACTGCTGCCCCCCGCCCGGACCTCGTGATCCCTCTGATGGTCTGTGGGTACTTGGACTGTCCATCTGGCCGGCGGACGATTACATTCTTTTGACGGGGGGAGGGGGGGACGATGTCTGAAAAGAGGAGAAGAAACAGCAAAAAATAAATTCCCTCCGCTGAGGGGTCACACACACAAAAAACGAATAGCTTCAAAATATTTGCAATATTTAAATATATACACACAATATGCCATGAGTTCTAACATACCCCCACCTTTTCTTTGCATGAAACCACTAAAAAAAAAAACAAGGAAATGTGCCTCCCTTTCTTTTGTCACCGATTCACAACATCAGGAGCAAACCTTATTGGTTTGCGGATTTCACTTCCGGATCTTGTTTTGAAGTTGGAGGTTTTTTTTTATCCCCAGAGGCCTTTTTGGGAGTTTCTTCAGAGGAAATCTCAAGGAGAAACAGTTTCTGTACAGGGCCTAGCCATTTGCCTGTTGATGTCTTGACTCTGGCAACCCTGTTCGCCACATCCTTCCCCAAGTAAAGTTTTACTATTTTTCCAACAGGCCAGAGAATTATTTTAGTATTGTCCTGGCCTATACGGACTAAATACCCTTCTTTTATGCACCGCTCCCTTTTTTTTCGGCCCGTTGCATCAGTACCCCCGAATATTCCTTGCGGAATCTGTTCAAGTTCCTCATTTAATTTACTCAAAATCTTGTATTTTCTGGTGAAAGAATTCACTCTTATTTTTTCTAGCTCCAGAAACTCATTATTTGCGTTAGTCTGCAGAAACATCTGAGGGGTCAAGGGAATGAGGTCTTGGTCATTTTTCGATATATATGAAAGAGCTCTATTGTTGATAATACTCTCTACCTCACATAAGGCAGTTTCAAGTTGTACATAATTCAATTTACTAAATCCGAGCATACGAAACAATAAACTCTCAACAACCCTTACCAATCTCTCCCAAACACCTCCCCACCAAAGCGCTGAGGGAGGGATAAAAATCCAATGGA